TATGACTAATAGGGACTTAATAATAATTTAATATTACTTTTGCTAATAAAGCCCTGGGTCTATTTTCATTAATTAGAATCACTGATTCCAGATTCTGCTTGCATCTTCCTAAATATATACATATTTCCCTCTTGTCTTTTCTATTTTAAGCTATCCTTGATGGAGTTGTTAGCCTACACATATGAATAGAGATGAAAAGTCTCTGTAAACTAGTCATTTCCAAAAGTTTAATGGATGTCCTTACTGGGTTGGTGAAACATAAGGCCATTTATCCTGGTTTGTTCTGTGCAAATTCTAAGTGTTTTTGCAGTAATGGGAAATTAAGAATCATTAAACATTCCAAAGATACACATACATATACTACTCATGAGCATCAAAAATAAATGACAGGTTTTCAGTAAATAAGACTGAATGGTTATAATGTAATATAAAATAAGGATAGGCTTGTGATATCTGCAAGAAATAAAATTTTGCCAAAACAAATGAAAGAAACATGTTCTTAATAAAATACAAATAAATGAGGTTTTCTGTCAAATGTTTATATCAACAACAGAACACAGGTAAAAATATAAAAAATATAGGATAATGTAAAATGAGATTATTTTTATTGAAAAATATCTACCATATGCCAGATGTTAAATAAATTTCCTGGGCAGTTGCCTCTTATAATTCTTAAGAGCCATGGAGACTAAGAAACACACGGAAATTATCTCTGCTTTATAGATAAGGAAACTCTCTCAGATAAATTGTATAAGATAGCTAATAAGAGGAGAGTCTGATATTAATACTTAATTCACTAGAATATGAATATGGTGTCTATGCTTTCACATTTGACCCTGAGGTGCCATTTTTTGTTTTTTTTCTTTTTTTGAGATGGAGTCTCACTCTGTGGCCCAGGCTGCTGTGCAACGGCAAATATCTCACCAAGAAAGATGTCCTGTAACTTATCTGTTAATAGTTGGTCTCATGGAGAGCCAGTTCTGGGAGCCATTTCTGGAAGACCTCATTAGAGCTCATTTATCCAACCATTTCAACAATTTACACATATAAAATTCTCTCCATCGAATTGCACTCTGCTGAAAATAGAGTGACTTACATTGTCTATGTTCCAACCCTGACTAACCCCAGTATGTGTGTATGTGTGTGTACATATATATACATGTATATATATATGTATATATATGTACACACACATTTATATACATATACATATATATATATATATATATGTGCACACACATTAATATATATTTTTAGGGAAGGGCATATAGGGAAGGGCACATTTTAAAAAAATGGTAAGTGTTTGAGGTGATGGTTATCCCAATTACCCTGATTTGATCATTGCATATGGCATATAATGCATATATATATATATATGCCCTTCCCTAAAAATATCTGAGACTCCTACAGAGTCTTCTAAACTCACAATGAAGTTAAGGTGTTTCATAATCATTTCACAGCTTGAGTCTCTAAATGAAGATTAGCATTTCACTTTTACCAAAAAAATGGGTAAAGTTTCTGAAGGCACAATTAAAGGTACATCAAGTAGTTTATAGGAAAGTGAACTCTACATGCATTTATTTGTCATCTGCTTCACTTGAATGTAAGCATTACAGCTGAGATAACTATACCTATACTACTTTATCTTACCTCAATTTTTGAAATGCTCCTAACCATAGAAATAAAGTCATTCAGTTGTTTTTCTTGGAGTCTTTCCACTGAAAACATTCCCACAAGTTATCATATTCTATATGAATGTACTTTTTTATTTTAATGTAATCAATTATATTAGTTTAATATAATTAATCTTGTATATTAACTTTTATATTCTTATATTAAATTCTTTCTTGTTTATTCTTTGTTTTCTAGGGCGATTTAATATCCTTTCAATGTAGGTTCATTCTGAGAAAAAATTAAACTAATACTCAAGGTGGTCCACAATTTGGCTCTGTTTCCTTTGTAATATCTCAGATAGCTATATAAAGTGCCCACCTCAGCCAAATTATCACCCACAGCCCACCCTTCAGTCTGCATGACACCATCCCTGTTCTTTCTTATGCCATTTAGCCTGCCTACAACACTCTAAGAAGCATATCCTTCATCTGGTCCTCCAGTGCTCAGATCCCACAGGCCCTGCCTTACATACTGAAGGGATTTTTCCCTCCTATGAGCTCTAAGTGTGGTTCCAAATTCTTGGACATCCTATAAATACATTTCAAATTAGATATCCCCAGCTGAATGTTTTCTTTACTTTTCTCTACAACCTCATAAAAGATTTTTTATTGCTTTTCTCCACATTTCTTTTTATTTGTTCATACTTATACATGTCAAGGGATTCTTTTATTTTTAATCTTTATAGATACACAATAAATATACATACTTAGGGGCATATGTAATATTTTAATAAAAGCATACTATATGTAATGATCAAATCAGGGTAATTGGGATAACCATCACCTCAAACACTTAGCATTTTTTTAAAATGTTGGGAACATTCCAAATCCATTCCTCTAGTTATTTGAAAATATACATAAATTATTGTTCATTATAGTCATCCTACTTTCAACATTGATGGAACTGAATGACATTATGTTAAGTGAAATAAGCCATGCACAGAGTCAAAGAGCACATGTTCTCACTCACATGTGAGAACTAAAAAAATTGATTCCACAAAGGTAGAAAGTAGAATGGTAGTTACCAGAGGCTGGAAAGTGTACTGGGGGGTGGTGGTGGTAAAGAGAGGTTGGGTAATGAGTATAAAAATTTAGTTATACAGAAGGAATACAATTTAATGTTCAGTACTGTATAATGTTTAAATATTTCTCCTGGCATTTAGTTACCTCCTACTCTATATTAAAGTTATTCAGGGATTTTTTTCCTACCCACTTACCATCTTGTGTTATTTTTAAGAACAATTTTTTAAGAACATTTTAAAAAAATAAATATATTCATTAACAATTTTAATACAACCCCTCAAATATTCTGATATTCATGAATTCTGGCATGATTCATGTGAGCCCTTAACTTGATAATTAACATATAATCAACACTATTTTGTACATACTTCAAAATTTTCCTGTTGCATGTTTTCTAAAAAATGACATCATTCAATATTTTACTAGCTTAAGGTCTTAAAATCCCCAAGAAGATTGGTTTGTTTCTCTTGTATCCTATTCAGTAGTTGCTTACTAAATTTTAAAGTGGTTTAATGTTCTTTTAGAAAAAAAAGTGTTGCTCCCTTGAGCCTGGCATGGCAGCTCCTGCCTGTAATTCTCGGATTTTAGTAGGCTGAGGCAGGTGGAGCACTTTGAGCTCAAGAGTTTGAGATCAGCCTGGCCAACATGACAAAAACCTCTCTCCAAAAAAAAAAAAAAAAAAACAGAAAGAAAGAAAACTGTTGCTTCCTCACCAATTGGATCCTAGAAGATTATTTTTTATTATGATCAAATAATTATTCTACAAAGGACCAGGACTTACATAAACCTTTATCTGCCACCAAACGTCCCACACAGAATGAAAGGAAAAGATTTTCCTGGAGAAGTAGAGTAGTCCAGGGCATGTGAATCACCTTTGCATTAAATCCACCTATGTATATTTCCTTTTCACTACTGTCTTAAAATGTTTATTTGCTTTCCTATACACTATTCCACATTGAGTTAGAAGCCCATCAGGCAAAGAACATGTTTAACTAATTGTCAACTGAGAAAGATTTATCTAGAAACTTCGTTGTAACCAAATGAAAACACTCTTTGAAATAAATGGGGAAGGCAGAAATGGCAACAATGCCCATTTCACCTACTATGTTACAAACCAGAGCAAACAAATTAGTTTGTGTTTAATAAAGCATTTTCAAATTGATCAATTATAATAAATATAATTTAAATATTAATGAAACTACACACTTTGTTTTCCACACTAAACTCAGGGTTTAAAAAATTAATATCTGCTAGGCATGGTGGCTCACGCCTATAATTCCAGCACTTTGGGAGGCCAAGGCAGGTGGATCTCTTGAGCCCAGCAGTTTGAGACCAACACAGGCAACAATAGTGAGATCCCATCTCTGCAAAAAAAAAAACAAAAATTAGCCGGGTGTGGTGGAACATGCCTGTGGACCCAGCTATTCAGGAGGCTGAGGTGGGAGGATCAATTGAGCCCAGGAGGAAGAGGTTGCAGTGAGCTCAGACTGCACTAGTGCACTCCAGTCTGGGTGACAGAGCTAGACTCTATCTCAAAAAAAAGAAAAGAAAAGAAAAGAAAAGAAAAGAAAAGAAAAGAAAAGAAAAGAAAAGAAAAGAAAAGAAAAGAAAAGAAAAATATCTGCCAAATCAATGGCTAACAAAATTTACTCCTTTGTCATGTTAATAATATTTATTGCATTTATTTTCATCTCAGACTTTTAATATTATATTGGTTAATGGTGCTTGCTAATTCCACTTACAACATTGTCTCTGTATAAATTATATTGAACGTCTGCTAACTCAACATTTGAATAAAATTCTTTCGATAAATTATCAAAAGTTATTTCAGGTTAAAAGGGTAGGGACCATTCAATCACCTACTCTGTTTCAGTATCAAATTGGTATGCCCGTCGGTCCATGAAGAAGGTGGCAAATATAACCACAAAAATGTCTAATTAAAATTAAATAACTCTGTCCTCAATTTACTTATGTTTTATTGGAAGTGAATAGATGTTTGTTTAGGACTAAATTCTGAAACAGACTGCAAACAAAGGAGTATTCTCTTATTTTATTGATCTAACAGGAAGCTAACTAAACAGAGAAGCCGGGAACTGATAAACAGATGAAAGCTTGGGGAAAATGTGAAAGACAGTTTTATGACTAAAGGCTTGAGAAATTCTTTTTAAGTTTAAAAAGACCTTATATTTTCTTTACAAAAGCAGTAAATTACTAGGTGTTTATGCTATTTTTTTTTTGCATTATCTTTCTTCCTTTCACCTTTATCCATGCAAAAATACCAAACACACACAGATCAGAATGTACCTGTTGGAAGAGGCGATGCTAGTTCTTCTTGCACGGATTCATGGAGTGATAGACAATTCTTTGTAAGTACAATGTCATCAAGTGCAATGTCACCACGCTGACCTTTTCCAACTCTACCTTCAAATTTGAGTTGGAAGTCTTCATCAGCAAACAGCGACAATTCTTCCCTCTGCCAGAAATTGCCTTGTTCCACAGTGAGGTTAAGTAGAACCTTTGTTTGGTTTGTGACTGACACCTGCATTAAGGTGAGTGCCCCAATGCCATTTCCATACATATGATAATGAAAAATAATCTGTAATCAAGAATACAAATATTACATATATTAGTATAATTAATGTGATTTTATTTTCAATTATATCATATTGCCCTCTTCTTTATTAATAGATTTCTGGAGGAAAATTACACCTGTTTATTCTCTTGCTCTGTGTGCAATTTAACAGTGAGTGAAGTCAGACTAGCCTTGAATGGTATATTGCAATGTATGGGAGACAGTAGAGTAAAAATCAAATAAAAATTTAGTAGGAGAAAAGGGCTGAGTTTACTTTCTTTCTGTGACTTCTAAAAGCAAGATTCCTCCATAAACTCTTAGAGCCCTTTGTCAAAGGAATGCAAGATCATTAAATTGTAATGTATTACATAGACTTTTCATGATTAAGAAATAACAGGAGTGAAAGAAGATTATTTTTAATCTCATGAAACTTAAATCATTTCTTTTCTTCCTTGCTTATTCCACTGCCATTCTTGTACTTGAGACACTTGTTTAGTTCTGTAAGATTCTCCAGGCTCCATTTAAATACAGCACAACCACCAGAACAGTAATTACCCAAATTTTACTTGAAACGCTACAAATGGGGTTTTGCAGAACAGCCTGGTGAGCTTTTCTCTGAATAAAAATTTTTTAAAAATGTATTTTCAGGGATTAATATTTCAGTGTTGCAAAGATGGAATTTACTAGATTTTTAGTGATTGTTACACAGTGGAAAAAGTCAGGAAAAATTCTGGGAAAAGAACAGGACAGGTTAGGAGCAGTAGGAATTCAATGCCTTTAAAGCTTTTGTCTTGTCATTTGTGTGAATGAGGAAAAGCAGTGGTGAGCATGATCTGCACACAGGAAAAAGACATGTTTGAAACAGTAACAGTCATGTATATTATACTGTACAAGAGGAAAAATGAGCACCATTCAATAACACATGCAACACATGAATTCAGAAAGGATCAACTAAGAATAGATGAGCCATGCAGTGACTCTACCCATCTTCCAGCTGATGAAATCTTCAAATATTATTCTATGCCCTCAAAGTATTTGTTCTATTGACTAACTTTTCCAACATGAGCTCCATGACTATTATGAATTGTCCTAGTACTGGTGAAACTTGGGTGCCATGACTCATTTGAGTGAGAAACAAAGTCTCCAGGGCCCAACCTCTTGGACAGCATGCACAGGCCCTGGGGGATCCAGGGCCACCTGCATGGCACACCCCTTGCAGCTACAAAGAGGGTCTTCTACCTCCTTTTCCATTTGTCTTTTATGTGCAACAAATATGAGGTATATGTTTTATGTCTCAGTAAATAGATCTGTATCTTTTTCAGGTCATTTGCTGAATGATGCCATTAGGTTAACATGCAAACAGATGCACCAACACCCCTATTTCTAAAGGGAACACCTGGTGGCAACAAAGCCTAAACACAGGATAGTAAGAGTGAGTAAAAATCTACTAAGCATTGGTCAGGCATGGTAGCTCATGCCTGTAATCTGAACACTTTGGGAGGCCAAGGCAAGCGGATCACCTGAGGTCAGGAGTTTGAGACCAGACTGGCCAACTTGGTGAAATGCCATCTCTACTAAAACTACAACAACAACAACAAAAATAGCTGAGTATGTTGGTGCATGCCTGCAGTGCCAGATACTCAGGAGGCAGGAGAATCACTTGAACCTGGGAGGCAGAGGTTGCAAAAAAATTGATGATCTCTGCTTAAAAGGTATTCCACAAGGTGAAAGGACAGAGGTGATTCTCATAAAAATCTGGGAGGTCAATTTGCTTACCTTATGAATATATTTTTATTTTATTTATTTATTTATTTTTTGAGACGGAGTTTTGCTGTTGTTACCCAGACTGGAGTGCAATGGCACGATCTCGGCTCACCTCAACCTCCGCCTCCTGGGTTTAAGCAATTCTTCTGCCTCAGCCTCCCGAGTAGCTGGGACTACAGGTGTGCACCACCATGCCCAGCTAATTTTTGTATTTTTAGTAGAGACAGGGTTTCGCCTCGTTGACCAGGATTGTCTCGATCTCTTGACCTTGTGATCCACCTGCCTCGGCCTCCCAAAGTGCTGGGATTATAGGCGTGAGCCACCGCGCCTGGCCCTGAATATATTTTAAATACGGGAAACCCAAGATTTCCCTGCAGAATCTTTCCTTACTTGTTCTTATTTGATCTATATCATAAATATTCATAAAATGCACCATTCATCATTATTTTTTTGACATTTATTCTAGGAATACTTCATTATTCTCACACAGATGTTTAAAACATTGGGGACTCTAGTTCTGGGACCAGGGGAAAATAGCGATGGATTAAATCCTGAGTTACTACAGTATGAAAAACGTCCACTGGACATTTTCAGAAGTGTCTAAATTGAAAAGCTTGGATGTTGACCTGGAATTTTCATATTTTGTTTTTAATATTTAGATAGGTTTATCAGACTAAAACTAATTTGTGGTTTTCAGAATATCTATAGATGCATAGTGCTAAATTTATAGATATACAGCCAACATACAGAAAATCTGGTATGCTTGGGTTTTATCCCCGAAAAAGTACCAAGTACTGGAAGACAGCAAAAAACAGATACAAACTAGACTTGATAAAAACTCAATTTTTGCCTACTTAATTAAGTAAAATTTTGTAGTTATCATATGATAAAAGCTGCTGCTTTTCCCAAAGAGCCATACAACTGTCAACCTTCTTTATACTTTTCATTCTCCACAGATTTCCTTTCATTCTAGACTGCTGACCAAGTTCTATCACTAAACCCCTCATTAATCATGTCACTTACCTTGCAGAAAATCTTCACTGTCTATGTGACAGATGAAATTGCTCTATGAGAGTTAAACTTTAAAATCAACTGACAATAAACAGAAAAACTCTTAAGACAAAGTAAAATTGTAACATGTATTAATACCATGCAGTGGTAAGGTGCTGAAGGCTATTTGATATGTCTCTCTCCCATGGTTAGGGCTCTGTCAGTTGCAGACACAGGCACAGAGAAGTATAAGTTGGGCTGGGCACAGTGTTTCCTGTCTGTAATACCAACACTTTGGGAGGCTGAGGTGGGTAGATCACCTGAGGTCAGGAGTTTGAAATCAGCCTGGGCAACCCATCTCTACTAAAAATACAAAAATTAGCTGGGCGTGGTGGTGTGTGCCTGTAATCCCAGCTACTCAGGAGGCTGAGGCAGGAGAATTACTTAAACCTGGAAGGTGGAGGTTGCAGTGAGCCCAGATCACTGCACTTCATTCAGCCTGGGCAACAGAGTGAGAGAAAGAGAGAAGGAGAGAGAGAGACTGTGAGGGAGAGAGACAGGGAGAGAGGAAGGGAAGAAGGGAGGGAGGGAGGGAGGGAACAAGGGAAGGAACAAGGGAGGGGGGAAGAAAGTTAAAGTTGGAGTCAGTGAAGGTTTAAATCACACAATTGTCTACTGGTCTTATCTGATCAGCTAGTAATTTTCCGGATGTCATTCTCTTGCCTTTCAGAGTTCAAACATTGGGGAACACCCTAATCAGAATACACGTGTCCAGAAATTACAGAGACTACATTTCTTATTGTAAACACAGATAAATGACATATTTATTTCTGTATCCATCTCTTGTAAGCAAGAGATCTCTGAGTGCTTGTGATCTCTAAACACTTAATTTGTACTATATGGAAACCTAAATTTAGTTCCTAGCCTAGCTGACTAAAGTCTTTTATGAACACAAACAAAAAAGCAAACAATAAACAAAGGAACGTGGAAAACCCTGTAAATGTGTAGTTATCATATGAGGCTGCTGCTTTTCCCACAGAGCCATACAACTTAATTTATGCTTTTAATTCTCCACAGATGTTTTCATGAAATTTTCACAGGCTAATGACGAAGTCATGTTTTCTTCTTGCCTAAAGAAATTATTCTACTTGCTTTAGATCTAAGTTCAGGGTATTTTTGTTTTTCATAAAGATCTCTCCAACATTTTTTGTGGCTCTAATTCTAATATTCATTCTTAGAGATATTTAATTATATACTGTTGTTTAATTCTGTTTCTGTTTGTAAAATTTCTATGTTTTATTAAGTACTGAACTTCTGAAGAGAAAACAACTGATATCTTCCTTCTGTATTTGCCAAGGTGTATTTATGGTTGTGATTAACAACCATGGAATTTTCCAACAGTTTTCAATAATTCAATATCCATGGAATGTATACACCGGAGCAATTCTTCTTCCAACAGTTACAGAAATCCTTTCCTTTCATTCTGAACTTTGTCTTTTCTTTCCCTCACATATTCAAAGTTGAATACATTCAAACTCATCTTTTCCCTGGTCCCAGCCATTCTATTTTCTGTACATAAATTTATCAACAGTTGCTCACAATAATTCTGTATTTGTTTAGTTGATTGGTTTGATTTTCCCCATACCTTGCAGTTTTTGCTTCTCTTACTTATAATGGGGCTTGAAATTCTGGCTGCTTTCATGGGCTGCTGAGAGAATAAACTCTGTATGAAGATGTAATGACCAGATGAATTTCCCAAAGTGTGATCTGCCGCTGGCTCTGTGCCTGCTGCAGGGATGCTGCTAGCTTTCAGATTCCAGTCAAAGTCCTCATCTTTCTCCTGGTCCCAGGAACAAAGATCAAATTCGAAATCACAGCGCCCACTGGAGGTACCTGGAAAATATTTCCAAATAAATGATACAGAAAATGGAAGTTTCCTGACTTTAATACATACAAGTCAAAATTGCAGTAATCTTGCTGTATCATGTAATATTTGAAACCTTGTAATGCTATCCTGATCGCAACACAGAAATAGACTATTTTGGTTTGCTATACACACAGCTATTTCCATGGGTCAGGTAAGTTCATTTCCCTACAAATCTGATCCCAGTTTCAAAGTTGATAAACTATTTTAGCATTTCACACATTTCTTCCTCTAAACACCTATTTAGTCAATGTGATTTATTTCTTCTGACTTTTCATCTATGCTTCTCAGGTCTTGGTAAGAAATTTATGAAGTTTATTATTCTGCGATGCATTTTAGGTTGGGGAATGTTGCCCTGAGCAAAAGTTATCATTAATCATAGTATTTTTTTAGAACAGCTCTATTTTTTAGAGATGAGAAAATTATGAAACAGAAAAGTGAGGTAAGAGATATAATAATTTGAATTAACTTATTGTAGTAAGTTAAAGAAATTAAATAAGTTAAATTGTATTAAATAATAAACTATCTCCCAGGTGTTTTTTGAAGTATTTTATTACTGTCATTGCTTATGTGATTATATTTTCCCATTTTCAAGATAGTAGTGATTACACAGGCATCTTTTTATCATGCTTCAGGTAAGTTATAAAGCTGAAAATGGCAGTGAAGATGTTATAAAACTGAGCTTTGTAGTATGAAGCTGTCACGCTGTATAAATCTATTTAGGACTTTTGATATATTTCATTTTTAAATCAATATTTATGATTCTGCATAAAACCGATGAGGGAGGCCAGGCAAAGTGGTTCATGCCTGTAATCCTAACACTTTGGGAGGCCAAGGTAGGCGGATCACCTGTTGTAAGGAGTTTGAGACCAGCCTGGCCAACAGGATGAAACCCCACCTCTACTAAAAATACAAAAGTAGCTGGGCATGGTGGCGGGCACCTGTGATCCCAGCCTCTCAGGGAGGCTGAGGCAGGAGAATCGCTTGAGCCCGGGTGGTGGAGGTTGCAGTGAGTCAAGATTGTGCCATTGCATTCCAGCCTGGGGGACAGGGTGAGACTCCATCTCAAAAACAAAACAAAACAACAACAAAAAATGAGTAATTTAATCATAAGTAACAAAATGTACTATTTAGAATTCTTTAATAACAATTCTTTATGAAGTTTTTTGAGATTATAACTGAAATAAAAATCTGTAAAATCATAAGTCAGATAGTGTCCAAAAATTAAAAATACTTGAAAGGAACTTATGGTAGCATACTGATAAGCCTTCAGATAAATGTTTCTCTCTTAAAGAAACCTCATTTGAACAATTGCTTAAATTTTTTAAGGCAAATGAGGGTAACAATGACTCTGTCATCAAAATACTCAGGGACTTGCTCTCCAATGCACAAACCAAAGAAAGGCAGATAATCCCACAGATGCTACAGTAATTCCTGGATAAATTATCTACTCTATTTCATTATATATGACTCTTTAAGAAAGTCCAAGTTCTATTGTGCTTGGCATCAAATCAGTGAGGTTTCTGTTTGTTCCTGTATGAATACACACTTACAGTTATCCTAAGTCAGATAAAATTGTCTAAATATGCAAAATCAATGGTATATTCTTTGTAGTTTGTAAGGTAGAGAATATGAAAGCATATGAGGCTGGGTACAGTGGTTCACTCCTGTAATCCCAACATTTTAGGAAGCCAAGGTGGGAGGATCACACGAGGCCAGGAGTTCAAGACCATCCTAGCAGACAAAGTGAGACTCTGTCTCTAAAAATAATTGAATTTTAAAAATTAAAGAAGAAAACATGCAAGTTTTACCATTGTTTCCATGCCATTTGTGGATATGTAAGAAAAGACTAAAATGTAAACTAACTTTATTATACCTCTGAGTGAGGAACTTGTTCAATAAAGAAAAAGAACTGAAAATGATTATTTTAGCTTTTGAAAGAACTGAAAAAAAGATTACTTCAAGAAAACATCAAAACTAATAATTTGTTTTTCTAAATTGTTTTAACAGTCAAGATAATACACATCTGTAGCATCTTCAAGGATAGAGAAAAATTTTCTGTCATAATTTATGTCATCAAATCAAGAGAATGCCTTTTTAAAATCTAATTGCTAATTAAGCATTCAAATGTCATTTGTTATATATTTTGTAATTTGTTTTTCCTAGAATACACTCGAATATTTATAACCTCTTGTAGTATGGGATACTGAAGTTCTAAGTATCGTTTCAAAGGACTGGGAAGGGAAACAATGAACGCCAACTCAAAATCTAGTTTAGAATATTAACTACTGTCTTGGTTAAGAACTATAAAATGAAATAAATAATTCAGTTGCCTTGTGTTAGAAAATTTAGCAGCCTGTGAGCAACAGATTAGCATATAGAGCAGTATCTAGAGAGGCCATTCATATAAGAAAATTATGTGTGCTGCTGAAAAACAGATTTGATATTTTTATTCACATAAACATTGCTACATAAATCTTTACGATGTAAATCATGTTTTTCTTTTGATCTTTTCCCTCGTTTGGAAGCTATGTTTCTTTGGAAAGTTTACTTCTAATATATCAGTGGGGAAAATAAAATAAGCAAACATAGGTTGTTTGAATTTCACATCACCATGATGAGGGGAAACAACTTATAATTTCATACCCTATCATTTCCCATAGGCACCAGGTAAGAAAAGCAGCAAATAGTCTTGGGAGCTGATGCCAATGCCTGGCATTTCATGGTGCAATTAATGCCAATGCCAGGCAGGTTTGCCGTCAGGAAGACAATGATCACCTTTGTCTACAGCTGTGTAATCAATCAAACTAGTTTCTACCTTTCTAAATGCTGTAATTTGTCCATTGATCAGTATCTCTATAGGTATAACATATGTCTCATCTGCAAAAGCATATTTTGAAGGAACATAATATAATTCCTTTTAAGGTCCTACCTTCAAACTCAAGAAATTAAAATCTCACCATTATATTTATGTATTCATTCAACATAAATTTACTGAGCACATTCTATAAATAAAGCACATTTAGGAAAATAGGAAAGGAGGGGTACTGTGTATTAAATGTAATGTGTGCCAGGTCCTAAAACATTCTCTTTATATCTGCCATTTCATTTCATTCTCTCTTTGTCTCTATATAATAGTTATTATTCTGATTTTGCTTGATGAGAAATTGAAGTTCAGAGTTAAACTGTGCTTAGTATTCCACTGTAAGTTGCAGAGCTTTGAGCTGAAGAAGACCATGACATGGCTCCATTAGTACTACTCCCTTTTATGATGTGGAATGCAGCAGTTAGGAGTGAGAGCTAACAAATAAAACGGGATAAGAAAGTACAAGTGTCTATAAAACATTCCCTAAGAGACTCCTTCCTCCATGAGTAGGTAGCAACATGAAGACAGCACTTCTTCAACTGTTCTTCTGAATATGAATATCCTACACATATCAATTTATCTTTCAAAGGAAGGAGATTCTGCAATCAAATGAATGGGATCGGTCCCATAAATTTTATCTTTCTTTGAAAAATTTTAAAAGATGTGAATATATTAAAGGCTCTGAGAATTCCCACAATATGCAAGCTATTTCTTTATACAATAGAGTATATTCCCAACTTGTTTGACTAAGAAATCTCTCTCTCTCTCTCTCTCTTTTTCTTTGGCAGAACTATTAACATATTATAGGATACTATGCTAATAATACAGGACAAGATTTTCAAATCCTGATGTTAAGACAAACAAGCAAAAGGCTTAGTTAGAGAAGCTAGTTTCCAATTCAGAGTGTGACGCTTTCTTACTTTCTTAGCTGGCAAACTTTGAGACTCATATTAGTCTTCTAGGCCTGCATAGCAAAAGTACCACAAACTGGGTAGCTTACATCAACAGAGTGTTTTTCTCTGACCCCTTTTTCAGGCTGGAAGTCTGAAATGAAGGTGTTGGCAGTTATTAACATGCTCTCTCTGATAGCTACCGAAGAGAATCCTTCCTTGCCTCTTCATAGCTGCTGGTGGCTACGGGCCATCTTAGTGTTCCTTGACTTGTAGATGTATCACATCAATCACATGTCATTCTTGCTGTTTGTCTTCACATCTTTTCTGTGTCAGTCTGTGTCCAATTTTCCCTCTTCTTATAAGGATACCAGTCATTGAATTAGGACCCACCTTCGTCCAGCAGGACTTTAACTAGATGACATCTGCAAAAGCCCTATTTCCAAATGAGGTCACATACTGAGATTCCAGGTAACCCGGTGTACACAAATTTTCAGTGGACATTATACAACCCAGTTACTTAAATGTTTACTCTTCTGAAATTCTTGGGCTTTTGTGCTATGTAATCATATCATTCAAAAATAATTATAATTTGGCTATCCTTAATTTCATTTCATATCTTATATACTGATCAGGACCAAAAAAAGTAATATTACAAAGTAATACTAATAGTAGATAGTTTGACATGTTCTTGATTTTAATGTAAGTATTTTAGAGGCTACATTAAAACTTTTAATGTAAGTATTTTCCCTGTTCCATTTATTTGATACATTGATCTATCAAATAAATGGAACAGGGAAAATATTTACATTAATTTGATAGATCACCTTTAATATGTTAAAATAATCGTATGTATGCTTTGCGTATCATAAGAAAGCACTGCTTAATTTGAACAAGTATTTTCAGCACCTAACAGCTTGCTATTATTTTCTTCAGTATTTGGGTATATAACATATTATGACATTACAATACTCTTAAAATGTTATTAGATCTTCATCTCAAAGCGCATGACGTATTACTATGAATACTATATATGATGATGAATTTAGTTTGCTAGCATTTTAAGTTTTCTGCATGTATATTCACAGTGTGTTTGAATCTCACTTGTCTAATTTTTGGAGACTTCATTATCAGTGAATTATATTAGCTTAATAAAATAAATTCTGTCTTTTTATATGGTTAAAATTATTTCTTTGGTCATTATTAGTTCATT